TTTTTTTTTTTTTTTTTGGTACCAGGGATTGAACTCGGGTCCTTGTGCTTGCGAGGCAGGCGGTGGAATCACTGAGCCAAATCCCTGGCCCAGAAATCTTCTACTTTTCATCTCAGAAAGTCACAAAACTAAGAGATCGATGTGGGAGGAGTGGTGCCCCTCCCCAATACAAGCAAGCAGATACTGCCAGAGCAGAGTACCTACCTACTGACACCACCACCCACCAACTCTAAGCTGGCCCTACATTTTTATTGCCCCAGGCAAGGGGGTGCAGAGGTGAGGACTAACAAACTGATCTAATTGTACATGAGGACAACTGATAAGAGAAGGGAGCAACCACATCCCATAACCTTGGACATTAAGTCCAATAGTCTACTCAACTGCACCCCTCTTAGGCCCACATTTGGCAGAGACAAGAGGGCTGACTGATCACATTAACCATCTACTAATAGGAGCAAGGACACAACTTGGCTTGGACAGTAATAATAATGTGGGGGAATGAACAGAGGGGCCCTCTGGTACAGTGTAGGCACCTCAAAAACCTATAGCTCCTAAAGCTAGGCACAGAAAATCATAACTGGCTGGGTCCCAACACTGTATATATTAGAAAGAAGCTATTCAATAAAAAACATAGGAGTTTTTTCTTTGACCCAGTCTCTTTTTCTGATTTTTAAATTTTATATTATTTTTGTCTTCCCTTTATTAGGTTTTCTGGGAGGATTTTTTTGGGAAGGGGTGTCCTTTTTCTTCCCTCTTAGTTTCTTTTATTGCCTTTTCTCTTTTTCCTTTTCAACTTTCTCTTCCTTCTTATCTTTATTTCCAGTTTTTGCTCTGTATTTCTTATTTTCTTTTCTTTCTTGTTCATTGGAAATGGTTGGATCCCAGAACAAAAGCAAAGGCTAATTAGTTAGCCATGCTCAGGGGATACCACCAAAAAGTAGGGATTAACTAAAGAAGTCTCCATACTAGAAACAAAGCATTCTACTACAATCAACCCACAAGCCTCAACATACACACACATACACACACACAGAAACATAAGAAGACAAGCCAACAAAATGCCTAATAAAAATACCTATCTTCCTCAAAGCTGATCCATGCAGCCAGAAAGGGAAAACCAAAAACCACACACACAAAATATTTGAAATGACATCGGGGAGATAAAAATAATAAGGAAGGCATTTGTCAAGCTCATAGAAGATACAATATGATATTGTGGGATATAAAATGATCGTTAGTCTATAGAAGACACTAATAAAAGATAAAAGAGCTAAACAAAACAATGCAAAATATACCTAACCAGCATAGAAAAGAATTAGGGTCATCATAAAAAGGCTCCAAATAGAAATTCAAGAGATTAAAAAGTCTATTGAAAGTATGAGCAGCAGAAATGACCAATGTGAGGACAGAGCATCATAACTAGAGAACAAGGCTGTTGTTTCTATTAATATCTTAAAAACAAAGGAACATGAAAAAAAATGCATCTAGCAGCTCCTGGATATAACAAAGAAGACTAATCCAAGACTGTGATTAGTGAAAAATAAGAAGATAGCACACATGGTATTTAAAAGGCTATTTACTGAAATAATAGCAGAAAACTTTCTAATAAGGAGAAAAGAATTTAACATACAGGTACATGAGGCATATAGGACCCCTAATAGGCATATTCAAAAACAAACTTCTCCATGACACATAATAGTCAAAATCCCAGAAGTCCAACATGAGAACAAAATCTTAAAAGTGGTTAGAGAAAAGCAATGAATTGCTTATAAAGAAAAACTCATTAGAATTACAACACACTTTTCAACACAGTCTTTAAAGGACAGGAGACCTTGGAGTGAAGAGCTTCAAGCCGTAAAAGAAAACAATCTCCAACCAGGTTGATATAACCTATAAAAACTTTCAAAACTGATAGAGAAATAAGATACTTTAAAGATAAAGGGCCCCTAAAGAAATTAATGACCACCAAACCAGCACTCCAAAAAATTCTCAGGGATACCCTACAAAGAGACACATTAACAATGACAAAAGGTCTAATAGAATGAAAACACCAGGTGGGGTAAGCAGTTAAGTAGAAGGGAAAGACAGGAAATCAGCAACAGGAAAATAAGGCAATGGCGGGAATAAGTCAATACCTATTGGTAAGAACTCTCAATGTGGATAGCCTCAATTCCAAAATCAAAAGACAGACTGGCAGAATACATCAAAAAACAAAATCAGTGTGGTGTATACAAGAAACACGTTTAATCTAAAAATAAACACATAGCCTAAAACTCAAGGGATGGAAAACAATATTCCAAAAGCAGACATAGCTATCCTATGCTTAGAGAAATTGAATTTAAGTCAAAATTGATCAAAAGAGGCAAAGAAAGTTAAGGGAAAAATCCAACAGGAAAAATAACAATTATTAACATATATCCACTGAACAATGGCACATCCAAATTTATAAAATGAGTACTACTAGATATAAAAAACAGATAAGCACAGACAATTATATTGTGGGACTTCAACACCCAACTGTCACAAATTGATAAAAAATAGCATGATACTGTCACAAAAATAGACATGACAATCAATGGAACAGAGTAGAAAATACAGAA